GGAGGCCACAGTGGTGACACGCCATGGCAGGCAGAAGAATGTTGTGCAGCCCCCTGAACCAGAGAAGGAAAAGGAGGAGGAGGCCACAGTGGTGATGCGCCGTGGCAGGCAGAAGAATGCTGTGCAGCCCCCTGAACCAGAGAAGGAAAAGGAGGAGGAGGCCACAGTGGTGACGCGCTTTGGAAGGCAGAAGAATGTTGTGGAGCCCCCTAAACCGGAGAAGGAAGAGGAGGAGGAGGCCCCGGTGGTGACAAACCGTAGAGGGAGGAAGAAGAATGTGGTGACGGACGCCCCTCCGCAATTGCCTCCGAAGATGAGGTCCATAAGGGGCCGTGGCAAAAAGGCTAGTGCAAGCGACATGGTTCTTGAGGATGTGGAAGAGAAGGGAGGAAATGAGTTGGCTGTATCAAGAGCTCGTCCTGAGGACTTGCTCGTTTCGGCGACATTGAAGGGTGTTAAGGCTCAGAAGAGGGATAAGGTGGCATCTGGGGATGGAGACATAGAAGGGGCTGCAGTGTCATTGGAGGAGAAAGTGCCGAAGGGGAGGGCCAGTGCTCGGCTTGCCGCTTTCGATAATGGTGCTAATGCGGCTGCAGCGCCCATTGAAGAGATGGAGGAGGCTGTGGATGCAACGCTCCGAGGGAGGCAGAAGAAGGACGTTGAACCTCATGAACCAGAGAAGGACGAGGAGGAGGAGGCCATGGTGGTGACACGTCGCGGGAGGCGGAAGAAGAACATGGAACCTCATGAACCAGAGAAGGAAGAGAAGGAGGACAAAGCCCCAGTGGTGATGCACCATGGCGCAACGAAGAAGAATGCGGCGCCAGTTGCTCCTGTATCACTGCCTCCAAAGAGGAAGTCTGCAAGGGGCCGGGGAAGGCCTACAAGGGCCAGTACAATGAACACAGTTCTTGAGGAGGAGGTGGTGGAGGAGGAGCAGGGGGGAAATAAGTTGAGTGCGTCAAGAGCACGCACAGGGAAGCCACCGACTTCGACGACGGTGAAGAAGGGGGATAATGCAGCAGCTGTGGATGGAGAGGTCAAAAGAACTGCAAAGCCGTTGGAGGAGAAATTACCAAAGAGGAGGGCCGTTGCTAAGCTTGCTGCTAACAATATCTCTTATGCGGCTGCAGCCAAGCCCACTGAAGAGATGGAGGAGGCTACAGAAGCGTCTCACCACGGGGGGCAGAAAGCCATGGAGCACCCTGAACTAGAGAATGATGAGGATGTCACCATGGTGACGCACCGTGGGGAGCGGAAGAGGGCTGCTGTGGTGAAGCGCCGTGTTGCCGGGAAAAAGGATGTGGTGGCAGTGATGAGGTCTGGAAGGGGCCGAGGAAGGGTTGGAAGGACTAGGGCAAGGAATAACGTTCCTGAGGAAGACAACATGGTGGTAGAAAAGGAAAATGAATTGCCTGTGCCAAGAGAGCTGGCAGGGAATCTGCCAGTTGCGACCGCGGTGAATGGGGGTGAGGATAGAGAAGTCAAAGGAACCAAAAAAGCAGTGGAGTCTGAATTGCCAAAGGGGAGGGCCAGTGCCCAGTCTTCTTCCGACAACAAGAGTGAGGAGGAACAGGGTGGTGCGGATGGTTCTTCTAGAGTTGCCAGTGCCCAGTCTTCTTCCGACAACAAGGGTGGTGCGAATGGTTCTTCTAGACTTGATTCAGGATCTAACGGAATCCCCAACACAACAAGTAAATACAGAGAGGTACAGTAAACATGCAAGTCAATGAGGTAATATAGTTATCGATATTCTGGAATGATGTACTTATCTTTTATTATCTGTTGCAGGATAGAAAACTGAAGCCGTACTCGACTCCCTTTGATGTCAGGCTGGATAGAGCTCTGAAGAAATACTCTGCATGAGTTACTGGTTGCTAAGTTTAAGAGTTAAAAATGTGTTATGATTGTGTGGATAGGTTCTGTTTCTACTCTGTAGGAAGAATGACTCGTAGATTTTGGAGTCTGAATCCAACTGAATTTTGTGTACATTGAAATGGAGATGCATGTTTCGTTCCTATGCTTGATACAGAAGTTCAAGAAAAAAAAATGCTTGTTTGTGTTTTTACTTTGCAAATGTTTATTGGGAAGATGCTTTGGTTGTTATTCTTCTTTCCCTTTCTATGTTCTTACATATTTCCTATATTCGTATTTGGTATGACACTGAGGAGGGACTGAACTTGATGTGTGTGCTTACCGAGAAGGTTGTTGTCACCTTGGTTTTGCTGGGAGTTTGACTGAAGCAAAGAAGGCAAGATCAAGATAGTCCTGTCTGCTACTTCTAAAAAAAGATAGTCCTGTCTGCTTCCCAGTTAGGGCTTGCTGTTTCATTTTGATTTCTTCTATCCTTCATCCTTTTTCCCCACTCACACTTCAAAATGCATTATATTCTTTTTTGAGGGAATTCAGCATTCTTGGCTACTTGTTCGCTCAAACTGTCCAAATATCATTCACTTGGTTTGACCGCTCATTCAATATCTTGAGATGACTTTACTCGTTCAGTTACAGGACTGACCTAGAGGGAACAACAAAGACAGGACACCAAAGCCAAGGAAGGATGAAATTCGATATTTGACTGGATTACTAAAGATACTATGAACCAACTTGGAGTTATTCTGCAGAATATAGGTGCGAATTTTTTCAGTGTATGATCAAAAGTGTCTCTTGCACTCTTCACTGACTGTCATTGATTTCAAAGAGCTCTCAGAGGGTTCTAACAACATTTCTGTTTATCCAATGTTCTGAGAACTTTTATCCAAGCCATGTTGCCCTAATATAGCCTTTTGTCAGATTCTCTCGTGTTTATTGTGAAGCCATATTTATGGCATGATCAAGACAGCTATAATACGAGACTTGAGCTTTGTAAACTATACTGATTTACTTAGTTCTGTGTTCAAAACTCTAGGAGATTCAATTCACTTCCTGTTACACATGTGAAACTGTACACAGGGACTGTGAACTCAATTTTGGTAGAAAAGAAGAAAAATAGATTGCCCACACATTTTGTACACATTCAAAACTCTAGAAGATTCACTTCACGTCCTGTTAATCTTTAAATTCTGCATGAGGTGCTGCTGCTGAAAGTTAACTGTATTGAGTTTGATGTGTGGATAGGAGTAGTTCTACTTTGTCTAGGAACAATGTCTCGTAGATTTAGATTGTGGACCCAATTGAATTTTGTCTACATTGAATTGGAGAGACATGTTCCTTGCCTGTGCTGTAAATAGAAATGCCAAAAAAAAATGCTTGCATGCGTCTATATACATTGCGAATAATTCTGAGCAAGATGGTTTGGCTTTCGCCCTTGCTTCCATGTTCCATAGTACTCCCTATGTAAGTAGTGACCTAAAAGGTCTTATAAAAGTTTACAGAGGGAGTATATCTTACCAAGAGGGGCACTGAAGTTTATGCAAATCACCTACCGAGAAGTCCAGAGCCACCTTGATTTAGCCGAGTTGACTCAAGCAAAGATGGCATGATCAAGACAGTCCTGGTTGCTTCACAGTTAGGATTCCGTGTGCATTATGAGGTCTCATCGATTTATGCTTTCATTCCTTGCATCATTCTATCTGAAAGAAATTCTACATATCTGTGTTGGCTTACTGTTCGATTAAACTGGCTGAATGTTCACCTCGTTTAACTGCTCATTCAAGTTCTTAAGATAACTGCTCATTCAGTTACAGGACTATTAGAGAAAACACCAAAGGAAGGATATCAAAGGCGAAGGTTGTGATATCAAAGGCGAAGGTTGCCGTATCAAAGGCGAAGGTTACAACAGAAGGTAATATGATCTACTCCCTCTGTAAAGAAATATAAGAGCGTTTAGATAACTGAAGTAGTGATCTAAACACTCTTATATTTCTTTACGGAGGGAGTAGTTTTTTCTTGAAGCAATTTTGCAGAACATAGGTGTGACATTCTTTTCAGTTTATGATCAGAAGTGGGCTCTCATGCCCTGCCGTTAACGTTGATTCCAAAGATTGGTTTGGGTGTTCTTCCAAGTCATTATAAATTGTCATCCTTGATTCCTCATTCTGCGAAGTCACTTGATTTGTACATGTACTTTTCTGTTCATTGCCAAATTATTTCACCTGCCGTACTGCAAGATATTTGTGCTTAAATAGCAAAATTGTCGCTTTCACTTAAGCTCTACGAGGTTCACTTACTTCCTATCACACGTGACAACTGTACATAGGGACTATGGAATTAGTTTTGGTAGGAAAAGGATACAGATTATTCACAAATTTTGCAATAGTACGAAAGTTGAAAGACATAATACTACAAAGAGCATAAAAATGTGCTTGTGCATCTTATGAACTTGAAGAACATGGTGCTGAACCATTCATCAAACTGCTGGGAAAACCTCAGTTCAATCTTAAATTAAGTATCCACCAGACATCAGAAAGAAAAAAAAAAGGAAATCTGCCACCCTTGGTTGGTTGGGCGTCCAAGGCAACCCAAATTCGAAACTGAATTTCACAGCTCGAGTTAAACTGAAATCTTGGTGTGTGGAAATTTTGTGGGTTGAATGGTCTCCCACATTCGCTTGATTATGCAGCGTGACTACTACTCTGCTGGTCCTGTTTCTATGAATCAAGCATCCACTGTTGGCTCCTCTTTCATAGCAGGAATTTTACTTTCTATGGAAGAGAATATCAGTTATTTGTTCTTAATCTTCACATTCCTGCTAATTGGCGTACCTGAGATGCGAGTTTCAAATCAAAGCTTGATGGAGTGATGTCTCGCCACACCGGCAGGAGCAGACTGCAGGTTTGTGGCTCTTCCTTTGGCATAAACTTTCCCTAGGTTTGTAATGAACTGTATGCATCGATGAGTTCGCTGGAGTATCGGTTTCGAGCAAACCCACGATCAATTCCTGCATATATTACCCTAAAAAGACTCCTGCATGTATGAGAGGGCACCATCTGAACCCATGGGCATATGCACCCACTTTTCATGAAATGCATTTTAAGCACGTTTTAAAATGTCAAAAAAATCAAAAGAAAATATCACGCATACATGTTCGCAAATGTGTGTACGCGGCACAAAGTTTTATCAAAAAATGTCTTTGTTTTGCCTCCGCAAAAAAAGACAAATTTCAGTGCTTTTAAATAGTGTTTCACGACATAATTTTTTGTCTTTTTTGCACAGGTCACAAAAAAGTTATTTTTTCATGAAACTTTATGCACGCACATAGAACATGGAGACGTACCCGTGCAATTTTTTTCCAGATTTTTTTAGAATTTAGAAATGTGTTTTTTAAAGTGGGTTCATATGTACCCGGGTTCATCCATGCACTTCTCCTGCATGTATATACAAAATACAGATACCGATGCAAGAAGTTTCAGTAAATCATGAGCAGATCTAACCTAGGGTTGTGTCACTTTGGGCCTGTTTGGCAATCCTCCAGCAGACAGCTTCTTCTGCTCCGTGGTTGAAGTTGGGTCGAACACCCTAAAACTCGGTTTTTTAACTCGAGCAGCTTTGCTCCTGAACGATTTCCAAACTCGGTTTTTTGATAGGCGGCTAGCCAAATATGCCCCTTGTAACTTGGGCCCTCACGGTTTTTGTCAAAATGCAATTGCCATTATTGCGTGGATGATCCCCTCATGGCCCTCCACGTAGGGGTTGCATTGGCATTGCCTTTGCCTAGGGTAACGTTATTCAAATGAACGTTTGCTGAGGGTGCATCGCAAAACGAACGTTTTTGACTGCAATTTACATGTCGAGAACATGAAAACTTTTTGAAGCAAACACAATAATTCTTTGCACAAAATTCTCTGTTTGCCAGATGTTTACTGTATGTTCTGTGAAAATGTTGCCATATGAAATGTTCGCAATTGCCATGTCCCACAGTGAACGTTCGCTGACTACTTGGTTCTTTTGTTTTCCTTACGGGAATGAGGCTAAACCTGAACTCTGCATTGGTTGATGCCAAATATTGAGGCCAAACAAATCAGTTTATATAAAAGAAATAGTTTTGCTAAAACATGTCTATATGTACTCTAAGTATTGCACATCTAAATCTTATGTCATTGATTTTATGCTAAGATTCCTATACGCATTTTTTTTCTAATTTAATTGAGTCACTTAAATGTGCAATAAATAGAACATATCTAGATGTGACCACTAGTATTGGACCTTGCTTGTATCAGCACCTTCCCAATTCTATCACGAATTCTATGACTGGACCCTATAAAGATTCACCGGTCGTGCGACACACCCTCAAAGTAACACGACGTCTACTTGATCTCTCGTATAGGTCTAGAGGGTTGCTGCGAGCCTGGCGACAAGCTCCTTGGTAATGGAGGGGCAACTCATAGTCAGATGCTCGTAACCGTCGCTCGCCAAGACCGCTCTCAAGTTGGCAGGCGAGCTGCAGAGGAACACGAAGACGGCCTCCTTGAGCCGTGGGTATTGGTGCTGCTCGGCCAATGCCAGGGTTGTCGCCGCGGTGGCCGCGTCGAGGTGCCTGCACAGCTGTCCTGGCAGACAAGCTTCAGCCTCTCCATGTCGTATCTGTCCGCCGCGACGAGCAGGTGCTGGGCCATGGCCGTCTCTTCTTTCCTGGTCGTGGCGGGCAGCTCGTCGGTGTAGATGAAGTGGAGCAATGCCCGGAACACGGCCACGTCCATGTCCTCGATGTGCACGCACCTCATCTTGTTCTCCTTCATGGGGACGACGAGCTCTGCCTTGAAGACCGGTGACCGAGCAGCGAGGATGCAGCGGTGCGCCGCGAATGTCTCACGGCCAACCTTGAATGACACGTCGCTCCACTCCTGATAGGAAAGCATCTGGGAAAGGTGCCGGGGCAGGGCGGGCGGCGGCACCACCACGGCCGGCTCCACGCGCACCTCGTTCACGAA